ATACGCCATTTAGGATTGCCTACGTCCCTTTCCATAACGCTAGGTAGTTCGAGATATGAGGCTGTTTCTAGATAGTCCGTTAACTGGCAGCGAAGGTCTCCACCGGAATTTATGAAGCTTCCATGTCTTGTTGACTCTGGAGGAGGTAGCTCCTTATTAGTTAGGCGATGTTTTGTTAACTCTAAGTCGGAGCTATTTACTGTAGACAAACAAAGTTAGCCTGAAAAACGGCAAATGGTTCTACGCTGCGATCTAAGGCATTTGTACAACTTGAGTTATTATTAAATAAACGTTTCTCTAACACTTCAGTCCGACATTTGCTCGATATACGTAGGTTGTCACTGCACACTAGCCTCCGATTTCCAGCGTGTACGTACAGGGCCTATTCAGTATACTATTTGCGGGTCTTAGTACATGTGATAACTAGAATCAGCACTCCTAGCATTGGCATATTACTCTAGCAGCAGTATCCTAGTCCTCGCAGTCCAAACCTAGGGGAAACTGACACAGTTTTTGGTGAATCTAGGTAGGAGGGCGGAAACCAGGGCAAAGCACCGATGTGTTCCGGGCCTCAAACATTTATTACCTGGAATAGCATAAGCCCAGACTCACTCCTCGTTGAGATAGATGAGGATTTGAACCCCAGCGTTGACTTTTAATCAGCGTCACCTCCAACTTAAACATAGCGATAGTAATAAAACTAGTGTCACTCAGACGAATAGCTAATAAGCATTTTTCAGAATAATAGCAGTATCAACCTCGGTCTCCTTGAATTCACCCTCACGCCTACTGAAGGTGAGTGAGGGTAGGTGGTGCAGTAGTACCAACGCAAAAGGCTTCTGTTACTTAAGACTAAGTTAGGCGGTGTTTTTTGGCCTGCATTGGAGAAAGCGACCTACGCCTGATCCCATTCAGTCATCTCGACTCTGAGAGTTATGGCGGACATCCAACAATCTTGTCCCCTTCCTTCTCCAGTGCTCGCTCCCCCGAAGTCATGTCACA